TCCCGATCCCGCCCTGCCCGAGGCACAAGCAAGTCCGTGCTGGGCAGGAGGCGCTGCAAGGTGAACGGCCGGAGACCTGCCTGGGCCTCTGCCCCAGCCGTGACCAGAACACACGTGACCAGAACACGCGTGACCAGAACACGCGTGAGGAGAAACCGCCTGAGTCCAGGGGAGAACCGCCAGGAAGCAACGAAACCCCTGGAGCGCACGGGAGGCTGGGAACGGCGCCAGCAGCCATGGGAGACCTCCCAGCTCCAGGCAGCACCTCAGCAGTGGCGATGAGGTAGCCCGAGATGAAAGGCTGCGATGGACACACCCTAACAAAGCGTAAGAGCAAGTCTCCAACGGACCAGACTGGTTCCCAGCAGCTAACGGCCGGCCAGGACAAAGGCCGAGACTGCTGACATGACTGCGACACAGTCCATCACCAGCAGGGTGACCTGACGACCTCTGGCAGCCCGTCGGGTGTCACACTGCACGCAAAGCAGCAGCGAGGATGGCCCTCGTCCTGGGAGGAACCCGATGACCAGGAACAGACCCGGTCCGGAGAGAGGTAACGGAACCGGCACAGAAGGGTCTGAGCGAGCTGTCATCCATGAGCTCCGTATGTTCAAGAAGCGAGGGGGAGACAGAAACGAGGCAGAGGAGAAATGATAGGCGTCGAGGCGTATAAAACAGGTTTTACATGTTTATAGGAGCCATAAAAGTGATACTACCCTTTTATATAAGAAACAGGGACAAGTAAACACACCCACCCCACACACACACCCACACATACACTCATATTCACAAACGTATGCTGTGGTGGGCTGTGAAAAAGTCCACAAAATCCCCTCAACCCTGCGTGGATGCCCCTTTGCAATGTGACTTCACAGCTCTTGCCACCAAGAAGTGAAGTTGTAAAAAAAAAAAAAAATCATACTATGTTAGTACAGTTTCGGTAATATTGTTACACCTAAAATCCTTTTTTTTTCTTGAAATATTAATGTTTATTGCATGTAATCCTATATAATAAAAGCCCAGTGACTGAACGGCGCAACGACCAGAACGACCGGTCGGCCAGTCGCTATGATGTGCACTGACCACCAGTGGGCAGACGCTCAATGCAGGAGCTGTCCCCTGGTGGTCAGTGCGCTCCCACACGGGGAGCACCGCTCGGCTGACCGGGATGAGCGGCGCTCCCACAGTGGGCTGATCCCCGCAGGCCACGCCCCCACCAGTGCACGAATCCTGTGCACCGGGCCTCTAGGATTATTATATTTAAGATCGTTTTTCGTGAATAATTGGTATTTACTGCATGTAACGTTATTATATATAAAATCGTTTTTCTTGAGATTAAAACAAAAAATAGCCCTAACCAGTGTGGCTCAGTGGATAGAGCATCAGCCTGAGGACTGAAAGGTCCCAGGTTCGATTCCGGTCAAGGGCATGTACCTTGGTTGTGGGCACATCCCCAGTAGGGGGTGTGCAGGAGGCAGCTGATCGATGTTTCTCTCTCATCGATGTTTCTGACTGTCTATCCCTCTCCCTTCCTCTCTGTAAAAAGTCAATACAATATATTAAAAAAAAAAAAAGAAGTGAAGTCGTCTGTTTCTCCAAACCCCTTGAATCCGGAGCCATTTGCTTTGATTAATTTTGCTTTGGCCAAAGGTTCATGAGCAAATGTGATGAAGGCAGAAACGTGAAAGGTGCTTGTGCATGGGAGCGGACCCTCGTTCGCTTCTGGCAAGTCTCGTCCTCATCACATGAGCGAGGTTGGGCTGGCCTGGCCGCTGCACAATGGGGGGTGTGGCTGCCACACCAGCTGGCACAGGGTCAACTTCCCCATAGTGAGGGCTCCCGAGCCCAACGAGCCTGCCAACTGCCAGTCTTGTGGCTGAGGCCACTCTAGACCGTCCAGCTCTCTGAACACGCTCCGGCTAAACTGTCCAGCTGGCCCCTGGAATCTTGAGCAAACACAAATGCTGGTTGTTTTGCCCTAGCCAGTCTGGCTCCGTGGATAGAGCATCGGCCTGCGGGCCAAAGGGTCCCGTGTTTTATTCCAGTCAAGGGCACGTACCTTGGTTGCAGGCTCCTCCCTGGCCCTGGTCGGGGCATGTGCAGGAGGCAACCAATTGATGTGTTTCTCTCACATCCATGTTTCTCTCCGTCTCCTCTCTCTTTTATTCCAGTCAAGGGCACGTACCTTGGTTGCAGGCTCCTCCCTGGCCCTGGTCGGGGCATGTGCAGGAGGCAACCAATTGATGTGTTTCTCTCACATCCATGTTTCTCTCCGTCTCTTCCTCTCTCTTCCACTCTCTCTAAAAAATCAATGGAAAAACACCCTCGGGTGAGGATTAACAAAACCAAACCAAACCCCCCCCCCCCCAAAAAAAACAGGTGCTAGTTGTTTGAAGCCACTAAGTTTTGGAGTGACTTGTCAAGCAGCAAAGGCCAATAAACATGCAGAGAGCATCGCGGGCAGACTGGCGGCTGTCCCTGGTTGCCGGGGGGCGGGGAGGAGAGGGAGAGTTTGACTGTATTCCTTTTTGGACCCTTTGCATTTGGAACCAGATGAGCGGCCATAACATGTTCTGAAAGAGGAAATGCGACGGTGAAATGTTACAGTTGGAAAGCGTGGCTGGTGGAGAAGAGAGTTCCGGTTCCTAAGTGGTGCTTTCTGTTCTTACTTCGAGAGTGACCGAGCTGGAAATGAACAGATAGGGGTGGCCGCTGGGTTCCCTTCCTCAGACAGATCCGAGCTCTGTGTCCGCCGCCCAGGAACAGCCCGTCCTGTGGCTGGTGTCTGAGACAACAGCTCTGCCCCTTGTTCCCTCTGCTGTGGCCTCGCCGGAAGTGCTTCCAACCCTTTCTGAAGCCCTGAGGCCTTGAAGAATTGTTTTGTCCATATATGGTCGGTCGGGACCTCACCCCGAAGCCCGCGTTCTCTCCACTAGAATACGGGGCTGGCTCCCTCCTGGCTATTGAAGAGAATGAGAGCGCTGGGCTCTGAGCTATTCGGGTTTGACTGTGATAAACACTTGCACTGGCCCAGGGAAAGGAGGGGTTTGTGGCCTCACTAAGTTCCCGGAAAAGTGGGGTCATCTGACCACGGGAAGGTGGGGACGAAGGGCCTGGGGAACAAATGGATCCTGAAGGCTGCCAGGCCCTCCTGCCCTGGTTCTCTCTCTTTGCAGACCAGCTGGGTGGACAGACTGCTGAGAACGGCTGTCTTAGCTGTGAATTCTGGTTGTAACGGCATCTGACACCTTCTAATCTCTCAGGCAGTAAACTCAAACACAGGAGGAAGGGCTCTGGCAGGCATGCCCGCACCCCAGTGAATCAGCTATGGCCGGGGGATGGCTCTCAAGTAATCCCAGTGGCAGTGGGGGGAGGAGCCATTTTTAGAAGAGGAGCAGGTTGCTTCCAGAAGAAAAGAAGGTGCTGGGCGAAAACCGGCATCTGAGGACAGAAACGACAGGGGCTTTGGAGTCCAGACAGGCCTGGGCCTGTGTCCTGGCGTTGCCCACGTCCTGGCGTTGCCTACATGCCTACTACAGCCAGACTCTGGGCAGGCTGCTCATATTGCCAAGCCTCAGTTGTATCCCCTATAACACCCACCCCGTAGGGTTGTTCTTAGTATTAGTAATAATATGTCTGCATGATATGGTACAGGCTTTCGCGCTGACATTTATTCTTCACTGTTTTGTGCAGGATCAGCATGAAGGATATCTACCGTGGGCCTTTCTGCAGCACAAAAACTACTTGTGCATCAGCCCTGGCCAGTAGCTCAGTTGGTTAGAACATCGTCCTGATACGCCAAGGTTGTGGGTTCAATCCTGGTCAGGGTACATATACGAGTCAACCAATGAATGAATGCATAAGTAGAAGAACACACCAATGTTTCTCTCCCTCTCTCTCTCCCTCTCTCAAGCCAATAAGGACACATACCTACTTGGGCATAAAGTCTCAGAACATTAGGTTAGAAGATATGGTTTCGCCAACACGAGTGGTGATCTACAAGCTGCTACAGGTATGATATTTTTCTAATGCAAAAATTAGAAAAATAAAGGGAAATGTAGAGTTTTCCATAAAACTAAGTGTATTCAATTGAAAAAAACTGCCTTTTATTTAAAAATCGTGGCCTGATTTTTGAATACTAAAATGTGTTTGTGTGTGTGTGTGTGTGTGTGTGTGTGTGTATCTCTCTCTCTATATATAAATAAAATGGTAACAGAAGATGGTGGAGTTCTAAAAATATGCTTATCTGGCAAAATGAAACCTTGACAACCCTACACTGGTTCTCATGTTTCATTTACTTCTTCCTGAAAAGCTCAAAAGCACAAGAACCACTGATCGGACCACCCCTTCATCTTCTCCTAGAAAACAAAGCAAGCCCTGCGTGGCCCCATGACCCGCCCCGAGTCCCAGGGCTGGGGAGCGGGTAGATGGAGATCATCTAGCGCTCTGACTCAAGGTGGGATTGCATCCCGCAGAACAGACGGTTCTCCACTTTTACGGTCTCTTTCATTGTTGTTTGTATAATACTTTATTCCTTAGAGCAGTTTTAGGTCCACAGCAAAACTGAGCAAAGAGTCCCCCCCCGCCCAACACACACACAGCCTCCCCCCTATCAACATCCCCCACCAGTGGCACATTTGTTATTCCTGATGAACCTATATTGACTCATCAATACCACCCATTGTTTACATTAGAGTTCACTCTTAGCGTTGTACACTCTATGGGTTCTGACACATGTGCAATGACATGCATCCACCACCACAGCATCATTCAGAACAGCCTCACTGCCCTAAAAATGACCTGTGCTCCACCTGTTCATCCCTCCCTCTCTATTAAGCCCTGGCAAACCACTGATTTTTTTACTGTCTCCATAGTTTTTTTTTGCCTTTTCCAGAATGTCATATAATTAGAATCATACAGTATACTATGTCCTGAATATGTGTGTCTCCCCCAAACTTCCTATGTTGAGACCTTATGGGAACCATGCCAGAGTACGCCGGATGTCCAAGGCCACTCTGAGCATGGGAGTCTTAATCAGGGTGTCCAAGGACTATACACAGGTGCGAGGACACGGCAATCTCACGGTACACTGCGCAAGCGTGCCCTTCCATAACTCAGATGATTGATGTTAGCATTTGGCGGAAAGCCTCTTTCGTCTGCATAGCATTAGTTACTGAGGCTGCTGAAGCGAGTGAGCTCAGATGCAGCTACTCTGAGAGGCTGTGGGCCCAGAGCAGTGCGTGCGTGGCTGTTCAGATAATGGCTGTGGACACAGAGGCTGTTGCTACTTTGTGGGAAAGACGTATTGTTAACTAGCCGGTGTGCGGCTACCTACTGTACGGGACTTTACTTTGGAGAACTGCGTTGTCGAATGGCTCCTAGTTAGCAATGGCTACATGGCCACTAGCTCCTGCGATAAAGACTCTCTTACATATCCACGACCTCTCATGGCTTCTTCTCCATCCTCGAATACCCGGGGTCCCAGGAGGTCCAGCCCCTGACAGAGGGGCGCGGACCCCACGATTGGCGAAGTCAGCAGGATCAGGACCTGTGCTCCCACACCTGGACCGGTAGGCAGGACGGAGCAGTGAATGCTTCCACCACTAGTGCAGCGAGCAGGGTTCAAGGGGGAACTTGCTCTCACAGTTAGCGCTGTAAGCAGGATTTAGGAGTAAGTACCCCAAGAAGGTACCCTGCTCTGACGGACCTAATCCCCAACGTGAGAGTGTTTAGATGTGGGCTTTGGGGGGCGATTAGGTCATGAGGGTGATTAGTGTCCTTAGAAAAGAAACTCCACAGAGATCCCCCCCACCTTCCTCACAGGCGAGGTTCAGAGAGGAGACAGCCGCCTGGGAAGTGGATTCTCTCATCAGACACCCAACCTGCCAGTGCCCTGATCTCGGACTTCCCGGCCCCCAGAACTAGGAGGACCACATTTCTGTTGTTCACAAGCTACCCCGTCGGTGGTACCGCCACGGCGGCCCACACGGCTTCTTTCACTTAGCGGTATGCATTGAGGGGTCCTCCCTGAGGCTTGAGAGCTCATTCCTTTCAGCACTGAAAAAAGTGTTGCCTGGATCTACGAGTCTGTTTGTCCATTCACCTGTGAAGAACACCTTGGTTGCTCTTCACAGTTGTCGGTGCTTGTGAATAAAGCCAAACATTGGTTCTCACAGTGTAATAAACACTGGTGGCAGATTTGTGTGTGAACATAAGTTTTCAGTTCAACTGGGCAAATACGCAGGAGCTCAGTTGTGGTGAGACGATGTTGAACTTCGTAAGCAACTGCCAACGTGCCTGGGAAGTGACTGTACCACTTTGCGTTCTCTCCAGCCACGCACGGGAATTCCTGTTGCTCACATCCTTGCCAGCATCTGATACCGTCGGTGTCTTGGACTCTTGCCACTGTTGTTTTAATTGTCAGTTCCCCAGCGACATGTGACATTGAGCTCTTCGTACGCTGGCTGGCCATCTGTGTATCTTCTCTGTCTCTTGAAGTCTTTTGCCCATGTTTTAATCAAGTTGTTCGTTTTCTTTTCTTTTTTTTTTTTAATATATTTTTATTGATTTTTTACAGAGAGGAAGGGAGAGGGATAGAGAGTTAGAAACATCGATGAGAGAGAAACATCGATCAGCTGCCTCCTGCACACTCCCTATTGGGGATGTGCCCGCAACCAAGGTACATGCCCTTGACCGGAATCGAACTTGGGCCCCTTGGGTCTGCAGGCCGACACTCTATCCACTGAGCCAAACCGGTTAGGGCAAGTTGTTCGTTTTCTTATTCTTTCTTGCTTTGTTGATATATTTGACATATGACATTGTAGACACTTAAGGCAGCGGTTCTCAACCTGTGGGTCGCGACCCCTTTGGTGGTCGAACGACCCTTTCACAGGGGTCGCCTAAGACCATCCTGCATATCAGATATTTACATTACGATTCATCACAGTAGCAACATTACAGTGATGAAGTAGCAACGAAAATAATTTTATGGTTGGGACACAACATGAGGAACTGTATTTAAAGGGCCAGAAGGTTGAGAACCACTGATTTAAGGTGTACTACCTGACGATTTGGTATAATATATTGTAAAATTATGACCACAATAAGGTTAGTTAGCATATCCATGACCTCACTTTGTTACCTTTTTATACATGTATGATGAGAACATTTTAGATCTATTCTCTTAGCAACTTCCAAATATACAAGATAGTATTGTTAACTATAGTTACCATCTGTACATTGGATACTAATCTTATAACCAGAAGTCTGTATTCTTTGACTAACGTCACCTACTCTCCCATCCTCCCCACCTCTGGTACCACCAATCTCTCTGAAATCAACAAAAAATATATTTTAAAAATATGCTTATTCTGTCCACTCGGGAACAACCTACTTCACTGTGTACATTCTTTTTTTTTTTTAAATATATCTTTATTGATTTCAGAGAGGAAGGGAGAGGAAAAGAGAGATAGAAACATCAATGATGAGAGAGAATCATTGATTGGCTGCCTCCTGCACATCCCCCACTGGGGATAAAGCCTACAACCCAGGCATGTGCCCTTGGCTGGAATCGAACCTGGGACCCTTCAGTCTGCAGGCTGACGCTCTATCCACTGAGCCAAACCAGCTAGGGCTGTACATTCTTTTTTAAAAAAATATTTGATTGATTTCAGAGAAAGGGAGAGAGAGAAACATCAATAATGAGAATCATTGATCCGCTGCCTCCTGCACGCCCCGCACTGGGGCTCGCTGGGCTTGAAGATGTGTGTTGTAAACATGCACAATGAAACGGAACAGCCCTGCTCTCCGCGCTCCCAGCAACCACAGAGCGCTGGACACTGGAGAGGGCGTTCATGGCCCCTGGACAACCGTGGCCGCAGGGACAGCTCCTCTCCACCCCCCTCCCCAAGCCCCGGGGGGCCCGCCTGCCGGC